TTCAGAATAATGAATCCATGCCTTAGCAACCTCCAGATTTGACCAATGAGAGCTTTAAAAATATATACATATCCTCATGGATTGATGGATTTTTAAATGCATGTTTTCTGTGTTTCAATTAATTACACTAATTTTTCTTTTTGATCCTCAAATAGTCCCACCTTTGGCCACTGGGCACTTGTTTAATTTGGCTCCTATGTCCACTTATCATGCTTCTACTAGTCTTTGAGAATTTCTGTGTGGGTGAGTGTGAGGGTGTGTGTTTGCACAAGCAAAATGAAATTGCCAGGCTGGGTGGGCTGCCTTTAGTAGGCATCAAGCCCCATCACACAGATGGACTTGTATTTGTCTGCAAGGTGGAGGAAGGTGAGCCGCACAGGGGAAGGGTTGGCCGGAGCCTCCGGAGCATGATGGGAAGGACAGGTAGAGAACACAGAGTCTTGGGAGAGAACTCCAGCAGAACCGGGGAGCGCCAAGGGCTCAGGCCTTAGAGGGGGGAAGCCCCGCAGGAGCTGCTTGCCTGGAAGAGGCCGGAGCCGACCTGGCTGAGGATGGGCCTCAGTGCAGATTGTCCACACTGGGGATTCTGGCAAAACACAGCAGAAAGGGGGAGGACATTCAAACAGACCCATGCTGGATTCCCCACCAGTCTTGGTGGGTGAGACCTTATATGATATATTTTCAAATTGTATATTTTATTTTAAAAAGATAAACACTGGGCGCCTGGGTGGCTCAGTTGGTTGAGCAACTGCCTTCGGCTCAGGTCATGATCCTGGAGTCCCGGGATCGAGTCCCGCATCGAGTCCCGCATCGGGCTCCCTGCTCGGCGGGGAGTCTGCTTCTCCCTCTGACCCTCCTCCCTCTCATGCTCTCTGTCTCTCATTCTCTCTCTCGCAAATAAATAAAAAAAATAAATAAATGAAAAATAAAAATAAAATACATAAAAAATAAAAAGATAAACACTGAACTCACAGAACTCATATGATACAGTGTTCAAAAGGTACAAAAAATATGCTGTTGGAAGCAATTGTCGCTCAGGAGGTGAATGGATAAACTGTGGCGCATCCAGACAAAGGTATATTATTCAGCGCCGAAAAGAAACGAGCTCACGAGCCAGGAAAAGATGTGGAGAAAGCTTAAATGCCTATTACTAAGTGAAGAAGCCAATCTGAAAAGGCTGTATACTGCATGGCTTCCCGAAAAAGGCAAAACTATGGAGATGGTAAAAAGCTCAGTGGTCGCCAGGGGTTTTGGGGGTGAGAAGAGAGATCAACAGGCAGAAGATTTTTAGCGGGGGGTGAAGGTACTCTGCATGATACTGTAATCATGAATGCGTGTCATTGTACATTTGTCCAAGCCCACGGGTGATTATGATGTGCATCACAGTCGCAAACGTACCATGCTGGTGGGGGGTGTTCATAGTGGGGGCGGCTGGGGGTGGGTGGAACGCAGGGGTATATGGGAAATTCCTGTACCTTCCTCTCAATTTTGCTGTAAACCTAAAACTAAAAAAATAAAATCTTTTTTTAAAAAGATTTTATTTATTTGAGAGCAAGAGAGCGAGAGCGAGCGAGCACGAGCAGGGTGAGGGGCAGAGGGAGAAGCAGGGTGTCCGCTGAGCAGGGGGCCCAATGTGGTGCTGGATCCCGGGACTCCAGGATCATGACCTGAGCCAGAGGCAGACACTTAACTGACTGAGCCACACAGGCGCCCCTAAAATTTTTTTAATTTAAAGATTTTATTTATTTGAGAGAGAGAGAGAGAGACAGAGACAGAGAGCATGAGCAGGGAGGAGGGACAGAGAGAGAGGGAGAAGCAGGTTGCCCGCCGAGCAAGGAGTCCCATGGGGGCCTCCATCCCGGGACCCTGGGATCATATCCTAGGACCCTGGGATCATGACCTAAGCCAAAGGCAGACACTTAACCAAGTAAGCCACCCAGGTGCCCCCTAAAAAAATAAAATCTCAAGAATAAATAAATAGATTTAAAGAATAAAATGTGAAAAAGGTACGCAGTCAAAATTCTCCCTCTTCCTCATCTGACAAACCTCCCTCTTCTGATGCTTGGAGGAGAGCCAGATTAAGTTTCTTTTACGGTCTTCCAGTCTACATGTAGCTAATGCATAGGCTCTCTTGGACTTTATTAAGAAGAACTCACCCCTTCCCAGCCCTAGGAGAAAGGCAACCCCAGAATCAGAGACTCAAAGTCCCTGTGTGCATGCCGTGCTGTGAGCGAGACAGCAGCCGGCTGAAGGGAACTGTCGGGTAATTACAGGGGACTTCTGGATTTGAACCAGAGACCTTGCGATCTGCAGCCAAGTGCTCTAACCTCTGAGCTATGCTCCCTGCCTGAGCAAAGAGATCTTCGCATTTTGGTAGCTACACCCAAGACACCTGGGAGAACTAGACTTAATGTTTATCGAACACTTCTAATGTGCTAGAGAAACTATTCTAAGATAGATATATATATATAGAATATAGATACATATATATAGATATAGATATGATTTAAAAACCATCTTGGTGGTATTATCACCACCACCACCATCACCATCCTCGTCGAGGATGACACTGACACAGGGGATTAAAGCAACTTGTCCCAAATTACAGAGTAAGTGACAGAATGAGAGCTAGCCACCACCACTTTGCTCATACGTCATACTCATTTGCAGAGCTTTGTCTTGTAAATATTTTGGTGGAAATATTTGTCTTATAAATATTGTGTGGAAGAAATGTGCTTTGAGTGGAATGTAAAAGACAATGCCTATGAAAATCTTGTGACCAAAGTACATATTGCAATACAAAAAAAATCAGCACTAAGAATACTCTTTTTTTTTCAAGATTTTATTTTTACCTATTTGAGAGAGAGAGAATGAGAGAGAGAGAACACCTGAGAGGGGATAGGGTCAGAGGATGAAGCAGACTCCCTGCCGAGCAGGAAGCCCGATGCGGGACTCCATCCCGGGACTCCAGGACCATGACCTGAGCCGAAGGCAGTCACTTAACCAACTGAGCCACCCAGGCACCCCAAGAATACTCTTTAATTAGCACATTTTGCTCTGAGCTTACCAGTCACTCAGCACCTGTATCAGAGCATTTTCACTAAATACATTATGGGCTGCAGAGCAAATTGAAGGTGGCTGTCCGGGGACCTGGAAATCCATGGGTTTCCTGCACGTTCCCAGAGCCACCTGCCTACCGCAGTCTCTTTCTTGTAATTGGGGGAGCAGCCCACCACACTGTGGGGAGCAAAAGGAGCCTCTCTGTACTCTGACCTGCACACCCACCTACCCCCTCAAAACTGCCAGAAACCAGTGAGGCTTCCCCCGCTCAGGAGGGCCCACCATCTACAGGTGGCTGGCCCAGATGGACAGGAGCTTTAGGAGGAAAGTGCTCACCAGATTTCAAAGAGTCCAGAAGCCCCACAAAACATAAAATATCTCATTTAGAAATGTTTATATTGATTACATGTTGAAATGATAATGTTTTGGATCTATTGCACTAAAATACGGAAATCAGTTTCACCAATTGCTTTTTACTTTATATTTTTAAAAATGTCCCACCTTTGTTGAGATATAATTGACATTTAACGTTGTATTAGTTTAAGGTGCACGACATAATAATTCAGTATTTGTATATACTGTGAAATGAGCGCACAAGTCTAGTTAACATCCATTGCCTCGTATAGTTATATATTTTTTTCCTGGTGATTAGAACTTTTAAGATGTACTCTCTTAAAGATTGATGGATTGATTGATTGATTTGTTAGAAAGAGAGAGAGAGCACAAGCAGGGAGGCAGGCAGAGGGAGAAACAGGCTCCCCGCCGAGCAGGGAGCCCGATGTGGGACTCGATCCCAGGACCCTGGGATCATGACCTGAGCCGAAGGCAGACGCTTAACGACTGAGCCACCCAGGCGCCCCAAGATGCACTCTCTTAGAGGCAGCCGGGGTGCTGAGTTGGTCGGGCACTCGGCTCAGGTCATATCTCCTGTGGTGAGATCAGCTCCAGTGCAGAGTCCGCTCGGGATTCTCTCTATCCCTCTGCCCCTTCCCCTACTTTCTCTCACTCTCTAAATAAATAAATAAAATCTTTTAAAACATCTACTTTCTTAACAACTTTCCAAATACACAACACAGTATTGTTAGCTATGCCACCATCCTGTACCTTACATCCCAGGACTTAATTATGACTGGAAATTGTACCTTTTGACACTCTTCACCCACCCTTTTTTTTTACTTTACTTAATGCGGTTAGCTTGCATACCATTTCTGGGGCTGGCAAGGCTGACCTCGCCTGGGACCCCAGAGCCCAGGATGTGAGTTTCTCTCTGCTCTCTCTGGTCCTGGTTCTTGGGAGCCTGCTCTCTGCGATGCTGTGGGCAGAGGGCAAGAGAGGATGGGGGAATGGTTGCAAATCAGCTTTGCAGCCAGAACACGGGATAAAACACATGGTGCCTGCAGGGGGCACCCGGATTTGAACTAGGGACCTCTTGATCTGCAGTCAAATGCTCTACCCCTGAGCTATACCCCCAGGCATGCAAGCTTTGTCTCACGCACACTCTTCTACCCACAACCGCTGCAACTGGTCTTGCCGGCCTCTGCAGTCTCCGCGGCCTCCCCGCCTCCAGCTTCCTTTCGAACTGGCCTTTCTGCTCTGAACACCAGCTTGCTCTCTTCCCTGGAGTTAGGTGGATCGAGGGGTCAGATGCCCACAGCCGGAGGCAGCAGAGGTTCGGGGAACCTCTCCTTATCTCGACGCCAAAACCCAGGCCTCCTGGAGCCCCTCTACACGCCCTGCACGGGGTCTGAGAGCATGGGCCACCTGTTTTTTTTCCATCTAACATCTTCTCTCATCTGCCCCCCTGGGGTCCTTTCTCCCTTTTGCCCTTCTCCTCTCCCCACCCATTCCCTTGTGTCACTCAGGGCCTTCCCCTCCGCTCTCCTCTCCTAGCCGCCGAGACCTTGTGGGCCCTTACTAAATCAAGATTGTCTTCCCCCAAGCTAACTCCTGGCCTGCGCTGTGAATGGGAGACCAGGCCCAGTAAATACAACGGAATCGGTGACCCAAGCTCCGAGAACTGTGAAAATAACAGGAGCAACACTGGAGGGCTCATGGAGGGCTCGTCCTGGTAAATAAGAAGACCTCTACTAAAGCACACGACTGAAAACAGCCTGAGGACAGACAGAACGCCTGAATCCCAGACCTGGGGAACCGCCAATGTAAAGCCACAGTGTAATAAAATAATCACAAATGTTTATCCAGCCGTCATTATGTTCGGGACAATTCCATAGGGGCTGTGATTGTTACCCCCATTTTGCAGATGAGGAAACTGAGGTGCCCGGATCTTACATAAGTAATCCAACGTGCAATGATTAGTCAGTGAGCTTGCGAACCCAAGCGGTCGAGCTCGCCCACATACCTCACCTCACCATACCATCACTGCCTAATAGCAACCGTGGTCCTAAATGCACAGGGAAAGGAAAGGCCATTTATGTAAATTATGCTGGGAGAATTTAGTTGGCCATTTGGGAAAAATTATTAAAGTAGCAACTAAGCTTCTCTTTGTGTATCAAAATAAAGTCCAGGTGGATTAAAGCATGACGTATAGGGGCGCCTGGGTGGCTCAGTCCTTAAGCGTCTGCCTTCGGCTCAGGTCATGATCTCAGGGTTCTGGGATCGAGCCCCGCATCAGGCTCCCTGCTCAGCGGGAAGCCTGCTTCTCCCTCTCCCACTCCCCCTGCTTGTATTCCCTCTCTCGCCGTGTCTCTCTGTCAAATAAATAAATAAAATCTTAAAAAAAAGCATGATGTATAAATAAATAAAAGTAAATGAGTATAAATGAATATCTAACTGATTTAAGAACAGCAAGGAAAGCATTCCCATGGAAGAAATCACAACAGAAAATAGCAATAGATTTGGCTAATAAGCATTAAAAGTTTAAGTAGGTGGACAAAATCAAAAGGTTAATAGCAACTTGGGAAAATATTCTCATCATTTATGATAGACAAAATATTACAAATTAATATCCTTCACATGTAAAGAGCCCACATATAATGACAAAGGTCATCAAGGATGTGTTCAGTCTCAATAAATCAGAATAAACCTTAGTAAAACCAAAGAAATACTAATTAAAACATTATAATATTTTACATCTATCAAATTAGAAAAAAAATTTTTCTACAATAAAATGTATTACTTTCAAAATCAGAAAAACCAATAAATATTACAAATTTAAGAATATTTCCTTCTAGGGGCACCTGGGTGGCTCAGTTGTTGTCTGCCTTCGGCTCAGGTCATGATCCCAGGGTCCTGGGATCGAGCCCCGCATCGTGCTCCTTGCTCAGCGGGGAGCCTGCTTCTCCCTCTCCCACTCCCCCTGCTTGTTTTCCCTCTCTTGCTGTCTCTCTCTCTGTCAAATAAATAAAATCTTAAAAAAAAAAAAAAAAGAGTATTTCCTTCTAGGGGCTCCTGGTCGCTCAGTCGGTTAAGTGTCCAATTCCTGATTTGGGCTCAGGTCGTGATCTCAGGGTCCTGGGATCAAGCCCCATGTCGGGCTCTGTGCTGGGTGAGGAGCCTGCTTAGGATTCTCTCCCTCTGCAACCCCCCCGCCCCCCAAACACGTGTGCTCCCTCTCTCTCTCTCAAAACAAAAACAAAACTATTCCCTTCTAGTAATTATAAGCAATACAATTTCCTATTGACGTAATTAATAAGTAATTGCTTTAAGGGCGCCTGGGTGGCTCAGTTGGTTAAGCGACTGCCTTCGGCTCAGGTCATGATCCTAGAGTCCCGGGATCGAGTCCCGCATCGGGCTCCTTGCTCAGCGAGGAGTCTGCTTCTCCCTCTGACCCTCCCCACCTCATGCTTTCTCTCTCTCTCAAATAAATAAATAAAATCTTTAAAAAAAATAATAAGTAATTGCTTTAAGATCAAAAGAATCAATGGAATACTTATTTGGGAAATATGCATTATAATTAAGGTTTGTAGGAATAGTTTCTTCCATTTTGAAGATGAGGACACAGCCTCAGAAAGTTTCCAAGAGACTCAATTTTAAGACCTCCCGGGTCCAAGTCCGTGGCTATTTCCATGATACCACACTTCTTCCATCCATTTGTGGTAACGGTTGGGTAACTGGAAGAACCTGAGGGTGGGATCACTGGGGGTCTCTAAGACTTACCACCTCAGCCGCCATCTTGCCCCCCTGCGAGTTAGGAGGTGCGTCAACCTAAGATATTAATAATAGCTTGGATATGTTGAGTGTTTAGTATGCGAGGCCCTGCTCATACCTCTTCCCATTTAACCCTCCCGAGGACCCTTTGAGGTGGGTACAATTATTATCTCCTGTGAAGTAGCTAAGATGACCCCAATTTTGTAGATGAAGAAATAGAATACTAGAGGGTTTTTTTTTTTTTTAAGATTTTTATTTATTTATTTGACAGAGAGTGAGACAGAGAGAGAGGGAACACAAGCAGGGAGAGGGAGAAGCAGGCTTCCCGCCGAGCAGGGAGCCCGATACGGGGCTCGATCCCAGGACCCTGGGATCACGACCCAAGCTGAAGGCAGACGCTTAACGACTGAGCCACCCAGGCGCCCCAAAAGGGTTTTAAATAACTTTCAGTCACGCAACGAATACTTAGTAAGCACCCACTCCGTTCCAGGTTCTAGTCTAGCACCGAGCGAGGCCTCAGCAGTGAACAAGGCGAACAAGGTCTCTGCCCTGGAGGAACCTATGTTCTGAGAGGTGTGGGGTGACAGCCAAGAACACAAAGGAAGCAGATCATTGCAGATACGGAAAGCACGAGAGTCACATGGAGCGGGGTGATGTGATGGAAGATGATGGCGCGGAGTGGAGTGCTCAGGGAAGTGACAATTCGAGCCCCAGTCTGGATGATAAGCCAGTGGGTCAGATGTGGACACAGAACATTCCCGGCTGTGGGTACAGACCTGCCGGGGCTCTGAGGCAGGGACGAGCTCGGCAGGACGGGGGAGTGTGACTGCAGCAAAGGGACGGTGTGGGACAGGGGTTCAAATAGAGGGCAGCGAGGTGGGACAGGGTCAGACAGTGGCCGTTATTTCTCGTGCCACCGAGGAAAGGGCGGAGCCTCGGCTGAATGCAGACTGTCTCCGCCCATGTACCGCGGCCCCCGCCTCTGAGACCCTCTCATGGGCTCTCTGCAGGGGACTCAACCCAGGGCCTGCCGTGTCAGGCCGGTCCCATTGCAACAGGCGTCCCCGTGTCAGTCTGTAAGTCCCCTTGGCCATGAACTTAGGTTTGTTATTGTTCCTTCAGTCCATCTGGCTCCCGGCCTCATGGGGGCAACTTTCTAGTGGAGGAGGCACACCCGTCCCTCAGGAGACACACTGTCACTCAGGTACTCCTTGAGAGGTGATTGTGATGATGGCCCTGAGCCCGTACATGGGGCGGGGTGACGCGAGTCTGTGGGGCTCCGGAGGGCTTCTCCGGGGCCGTGGCATCTCCATCTCACCTTGAGGGAGAAAGGGAAGTTAGGCGGAGACGAGTGGTCCAGGAGGACCCCATGCAGTTCGGGTGGAGGCCTGAGCCAGAAGAGCAGGGAAGGCCAGGATGCCCGAGTCAGGGGAGACAGCCTCCTGTGGGTTGAAGGGGTCCCCCCAAATTCATGTGCTCCCAGGAACCTCAGAATGTGGCTTTATTTAGAAATACGGTCACTGCAGGGGCACCTGGGTGGCTCAGTCTGTTGGGCGTCTGCCTTCGGCTCAGGTCATGATCTCAGGGGCCTGGGATCGAGCCCCGCATCGGGCTCCCTGCTCAGCGGGAAGCCTGCTTCTCCCTCTCCCTCTGCCCCTCCCTGTGCTCGTTCTCTCTCCCTCTCTCAAATAAATAAATAAAATCTTTAAAAACAAAATATGCTCATTGCAGATACAATTAGTTAAATTAAGATGAGGTCATACCGGATTAGGGTGGGTCCTTAATCTAACCCGACTGTTGTCCTTATAAAAGGAGAGACACCCAGATAGAGACACAGGAGAACACCACGAAGACACACACACACACACAAGGAAGATGCCATGTGATCAGAGAGGCAGACACTGGAGTGAAGCAGACACGGAGTGAAGCGTTTATAAGCCAAGGGGTGCCAAGGATTGCTGACAGCCGCCAGAAGCTAGAAGTGAGGAACAGATTCCCCCTCAGCTTCTGGGGTGTAAAGCCACCCAGTCTGCGTTACTTTGTTAGGGCAACTCTGGGAAACTGGTACACAGCCCAGCGGAGGGCTGCAGAGCTAGGCAGGGCCTGGTGGGCCCGTCGGGACTCTGGATTTTACCCTCAGAGCAATGGCGAACCACTGCTCTGAGGGTGACAAGTAAAAGAGGACCACGGTCAAATCTCATTTTCAGAGGATCCCTCCAGGTGCTCAACGTCTCAAAGCATCCAAATCCATCGAGAGTCGGGAATCGGGCCCCACAAGGACCAGCCACGGCTCCAAGGCCCTGCCGGGTCACACGGAACCACACACGCTGTTCCTCAAATGCCAGGCGACCGTTCACCTCCCTCCCCTCCCCCGCAGGAGCCGGGCTTCCCGGTTCCCAGCCCGGCCGGCCGCCAGGTACCCGACCTCCCGATCTGCCTCCCGCAGACAAGCAGAGCCGGTGGGCATTCCGGGGGAAGGTCTGGCAACACGCATCAAAAGCCTTAAGGGGAAAAAGTCCATCCCCTGTGGCAGGGCAATTCTACCGCCTGGAAATAACTAGACCAATATTTGAACAGGTATGGAAGAACAAACAAGAAGCCCAGCCCTCGGCCGGTGCTTCTCGAGGTCCACGTCCGCGTGCTGCAGCCGTCGGCCCCCGGCCTCCCCGGGTCGAGCCTGCGGAGGGCGGGCAAAGCAAGCGCGGCCCGCGAGAGCGTCCCTGCGGCCTGCAGCTGGGGGCCGGCCCTCGGCCCGCCGCGCCCCGCGACTCCCTTCCCGCGCGCCCCTCCAGCGGCTGCGGGCCTCCGGGCCTCCGGGCCTCCGGGCGGGGTCGGTGTCTGCGCCCCCGCCGCGCGGCGAGCCCCGAGGCCTCGCCTTTGTGTTCGCGCCCGGGTCTGCACAAAGAACGGGCCCCACGAAGCTCGGGGAACGGGGCCGGGCAGGCGGGGCGCGCGAGGAGACGAGCACACGGGAAAGCGCCGGCGCCAGGCGGCGGGGGCCGCGGCTCCGGGACGCCCCCGAGGGAGACAGCCCGGGCTTCTGGGGACGGCCCCCTGGTGGGCGCGCGGCGGCCGCCCGCGCCACCACCGAGAGGCCCGCGTTCCTAGAGCGGCCGCGGGCGGCCAGGTGCGCGCGGCGGCCTCCGGGCTCCCGGCTCCGGGCTCCGGGCTCCGGCCGGCAGGGGGCAGCACGGCCGCGGCCGCCCCACGTGGCGGGGGCGCGGGCAGCGAGGCCGAGGGTCCGGCCGAGAAATTTTAAGAATTCAAGTTATTCACTATTAAATGTACAAAACGCATATATACACGTATTCAAAAGAAATCTATAGAAATAAGGTTTTTTAAAATAAAAAACTGGCTTTCCGGCAGCTCCATCAGCTCGCAGCAAGCTAGCCGCGCCGGTGCCCGTTTCCCAGGGGCGCGCTCGGGCCCGGCCTGCCGGGGAGTCGAGGAGGGCTCGGGCGGGAAGGGCCGGCGCGGGGACTGGGCGCGCGGCGCGGCGGGGCCGGGGGCCGGGGCGCGGGGGGACCGCCTCGGCCGTGCGGGGGCTGAGCGTGCGGCCGCCGAGAGCGGGACGGCGCCGCGGAGCCGGC